AACTTATCAGTCTTGATATAAAGTGAATAAATTATTTTAAGCAAATGAGGCTGATTTTACAAGTTTTTGTTTAAACTTGAGAGAAAAATGTGTTCTAGAAATACAACAAAATTTAATTTTGATTGACCGAATTTAAGGCGAATTCTTTGTTTTCACTGAACACAAAACAGATCAGTTTTTCCATGAATTTAAGCGTCAATTGTGGCTTAGGTGAGTGAGATGTTTACTTTTCAAAGAAAGTAAGAGTATGATGTGAAGTCTTCCCTGTTATATTCTATCGCTATGAGACGTAATCCTTATGAATTGAGGATATTCTTTGGTTTCATTATTTAATCATAAATATACTCAGAGTATGGCTTGCTTACATGGAGACCACTAAGAAAGTTGGCCTGATGTTAGGATTGGAGTACTAAGCAAAGTTGGCAAATCAATTAGTGAAGTAATAATCTTCACCAATTAAGATGGCTAAAAATTGTGTTAGGTATCTCTAGTCTCCTCACTCTTCAATGTGTGATGACGAGTAGTGTAGAGGTTGATTAGAAGAAGCTGTTGGTGGCCAAACCAAGAAGTGATATCACTACATGATAGGTGATGTCTACTTTGTTTGAGTCTGTGCAATAATCATAACCGATGGTTTTAGACGTTGAGCGACATAACTCATGATCAGGTGTGCTGAAGTATGTGCATTAATGATTTGTCTTCCCTTAGATATCGAGTTCTAAAATTAATTTATACTTTTTATAACTGGGAATTCATTCTTTCTACTCGACCTATATTAACTAAATTGAACCAAGTTTGATTGTTTCACAGTCAACATTTTTGATTTTGATTTCAAATGAAACTTTGCGCAAGCATGGTATTTTTTGTAAGAAAAAAGGTTCTATATTTAGGAAGTCAAGCTATAAGATGGATCAATATTTTCAGTAAAAAGAAAAGCCACTTCGTTTACTGCATGTTAGATTTTGTGCTGTAACAATGATAATAGAAAAAACCAATCCACATTTACATATAAATTGATATATATGATAAGAGATATTGATTGAATTGTCTATCAAGAATGAATTGGTTAAATAGTGTTTTCCGAAACATCATCCGTATATCAAATGTTGTAAGAGAATGTCAACTTTCCCTTTAACGCTAATCATGAATCAACTTAAAATAATTAATGATGACTGACTCTACAGCAAAATGAATAGCAAAATAAAGTTGGACCTCTACAACTTAATCAATTTTTTTTCTGCCCTAATGTGTAAAAAAGCAATGCTTTTTCTTCGATGTGCTTATGATGATTATTAATTTTCGTATAAGTGTATTTGTTTATTGTCTCTTGTGATTTGTAATCACAATAACGTTGATTGTGTAATACAATAGGATTTGATATTTACGTGGGTGTTGGTGTAATGCGTTTGTTCAGCTAAGCATGTATATATATATATATATATATATATATATATATATATATAATTTGGCACAGGTATTCTTTCTGTGAAACACTTTTTCTATAGTTTTATGCACAATCCTCAACTAGTGAAGCCATATCATTTGTAGAAGTAACGAGAATAATATAGAAAATTCCAGTGACAAATCATTCATCTTGGAGATGAAAATAGCATAGCAAAGATTAAGAGGTGAACAATATTCCATCAGGAAAAATTAGTTGCTATTACTTAAACAGACAGACATTACACAGAATGTAATTGACCTTGGATAAAAGTGCACTAGTTCAAATGGTTGCATTTTTTTCACAATATTTTACACCAAACAAAAAAATGAATAAGTAGTAAAACAATAACAAATATATATATATATATATATATAAATTATAAAACGAAACATGAATGACCATAACATATAAAAATAATAGAATATTCACAAATGAGAAGATGATATATTGATTAACTTTTGACTATGATTAACGCAAATACTTTAGTTACCTAACCCATATTGTTCGTAGTCATAGTTATTGACGTCGGGGGACTTGAGATCATATACTTATTGAGAGATTTCGATGACCTAGTTCGGTGTTCAAAGTTTGCCAAATGAATCAACATGTAGCTGATATATAACAGTATCTTTGAAATTGTAGTACCCTGTTTGTAATAAATTGTGATTGTTTAAATTAAATAATTACATAAAGTGTGAATAGCACAGAACTCAATCTATTTTTCAAATGGATGCCCCAACTTAAAATAAGACAAGATTACGGTTAACCTATGTGTTCAAGGCGTTATAACATGAAGCTTCTTACTGATATGGAAACAATAAAAAAATTCAGTGGAAGCTGTACACTACTTTTATTCAGCTGGTCAAAACAATTTACACATCTAAGATTAGGAACCAGTTGAGGTCTGCCTACACAACATATTCCATAGTACTAAATCAAGAATTTCTAAGTAAATCTAGTACATTAATTCAGCAAAGCATAATGAATGGTCTTATCCAAAAAAAAATAACGCATAAAATCAGAATAATGACGAAGCTGAATACTACCACTCTAAAGTAAACTATAAGTCTTGTTTTTTCGAGTCGATTCACGGGTCGTATTAATTTTCTGAATTTATGTTATGCTATGTATGGAATACTTCTGAAAATATTTTCAACAAAAATTTCTATACACACCACAAAAACCAAAATTCGTTTGTTGACATTTTTTCCTCTCTTAATTTGACTTATTGAGTATGGAATTGTCGCTTTCTGTTTTTGATTTTACTGAATGTTTTCAATCAACAAAATTGTCTTTTTCGGTCTTTCGGGAAATTAATTGCTTTTGTGTTTTGTTATGTCACGAATACTTTATGATTGCTAAACTAGTATTAAATTGAAAATCATTGAAATCCAAGTGTTTGAATGGTGTTTACATTTTAAAAAAGGGTTAATCTTGTTCAGGGATTAATTTCACCGCTTAACTTCCCCGCTAATTATTCTTGATTTGCTAGTGAGTAAAAGTAATTTAATCGACTGTAGATGTGAACTACAATGATGGAATTCAACAGTTGACAATGAATTCTATAGATTTATTGAATACCAGTTCATCATTCTACAGGTAGTCAGGTGGTTTGCAATGATTTTATCCAGAATATTTTTTGGATTGGGTTGACATTCAGCGAAACGATTATTCATATGAAAAAAATGGTGAATAAAAGTTATGGAATTTTTTTCTATCGTAAGCAATTTCAAACTTCATGATCACTTTCAATGAATCCACAATATAGTTCAATAAATTTGCTTTAAAGCTATCTAAGTACGTAGTTTTCATTAAGAAAACCATGAAGAACTACTTGGGTATTACCTTTTTTGAATCTGCGTTTCCCCGGTTTCGGACAACAAACATTTTCTTTTAAACTAAACCCGGGAGGTAGAGGTTTGACGATGAAAGTCTATCATCCATATTATTGTGTTCAACCAATTCATAATTCGACAAAATAATCACAAAGTTTTGTCACTGACATCTTTCTTACGTCCAATGTGACTAAATTTTACAGGTAATGATTTCTTTCAGAATATATGGTTAAGCCAGTATTCAAACTTTATTTTGGATCTTTGTGTAGTAGATTGATTTATGAAATAGTGGATGTTGGAAACAGTTTCCAAATATAAAACTGACACACACACACACATGAGGGTTTGCAGTGTTTCAATTCTTTCGATCTACTTTTTGTAAAATCGCAACACTGAACTGCCTCGAAAACAGGATAAATCTATTAAGGTTCAATTAGTACAGACTTTTACTGAATTTGCATATACGGATTTTTTAAAGCATTCATTCCAACATATTTCGAGGCAGCGGAAAAAATATTTTAATCAATTCCAGACTAAGCAAATTATATGTTTTGTTTTAATTTTATTAAACTACGAAAAACCATTGAACTGATTTATTCAGTAAAATACACTAAAATTACATTAAATTTAAATTAAGAATAGATGCTGTTCTTTGAATTGTTTTCAGTACATTAAAAAAAATATTTCATAGAATACACAAGCTTTGTTTCAATGTTATTATAGAAATATGCTTTGATAAAGAGTCTTAAATTGACATTTTCTTGATTATATGTACGACATGCACGACACAATACTGATCATAGGCGAATTGTGTTACAGTTCAAAAGTTCAACAACACTTGATAAAATCCCAGTCACATGTTCGTTTTCATTTGACTCGCTTAAACCTATCATACATATATCTTAAAAGCGACTTACGATCTAAAATAAATTTAAATATTTTTAATTAATCATGCGATTGAAATGAAATGAACTTGAACAGTCCTCCGAAGTGATGTAGCTGTTCTCTGTGATCAAAACAATGTTTTTGGGCTTTTCATTATTGTATTTTCATTTCACCATTGACACTTTATTCTTACAAGAAATATTCATATGAGTTTTATCTGGTCAATTTAAGCCAACTACTTGTCACATTGTATGGCTAATACTAATCAGAAAACTTTCTTAAAATTAAACAGAATTACATTGTGAAGATGGTGTCTGTCCTTGAGTGATACTATTTAGGACAATAGTCTAAACATGAGAACAGAAAAAAAGGTTTCTTTTATTGAGATGCATTCTGGATTTTAATGGATTTCGTTCAAAATCACTGCCTCCATTATTTTCTTGGTCTTTTTTGTCATATAAGTGTGGAGTTTGTGTTTTCCGCAATGACTGAAACAATTTAATCACTATCGTATACTTGAAATTTCATGTAAAAGCAAATGGATGCATTGAATTGAATTTCATTTTATTTTTGTACAAGTGCGTAACACAGACTTTTCAATATTCTAAGGTTAGTGTGAACATTTTTATTAATTATTGAGATGAGCCATTAAAAGTATATGTAAGTATTAATCCACTATCATTTGTTCTTCATAAGCATTCATTTAACCGACCCCTAGTTCGTACTGACTAAAAAAGTCCAAACATAACCATCCTAATAGTTTCCATTGTTTATTTAGTTAATCAGTGAATACAGAACAACCATACAGAAAAATTAACAATCCCATCTCAACTTACCAACAATACCAAATTAAAATAACCGCGAATAAAATGATTAAAAGTGTCACAAATAGTCCAACTACTAAACCAATTGTAGCGGAATAGAATCCTTCATTAAAAAAAAAGAAGCAAAAATAAAACAAGTTCAAATACATTAAAAAGGTTAAAAAATGTTAAAGATGAAATAAATAAACTTCATTAGCACAATCCGAATTGATGAGACCTGAAAAGTATTTGAAATCCTAACAAGCTCTCTATGACTAACTATTATATTAGTATTAGCTAACTGGAAGTAATCGATTTGGGCCAGCAAATTTAGTGTGACACTCGCTGACATAGAATTAACTTTGCCCGACTTTACAGTCTTCGATGCTACCATTCAAGCCTACACTGATCTCCTGTAAGACTGGGATATTGATAATTAAATGATTATCGAATAGTGGACACCGTTAAATTTATTTAACCATATATTGTGGGTAGAATTCTAAGAATGGAGTTGTAATTAAGAACATATTCTGATTTTAATAAATGATAAAAAATTGCTTTCAGACTAAATCGATCTTCGTCTAATCATTTAAATCAAAGTGCTTTTAGCTCTAATGGATGTCAAGTAAATAGTAGAAAGTATTTTGTATTCTTCAGAATAACACTCACTTTTGTTATAGTAAATTTGATTAAAATTGATCTTGGATCAGACAATCACAAAAATTATCATCATCGTGTGCTTAGGTCCTGGTGAAAATGCTCGAGTTTAGTTGGTTTTTCGAAAAATACCTAGTGAATTTTTGAATTTCAAGGTATTTCACCAGGTTAACAGGTTTAAGATTTATTTATCAATTTAAGTTTCTACATTATTGATAAGCTGAAGCTTAACAAAACTCCATCTTTAGACCCTCGGGGGTTACTGTCAGTTTCAAGCCTTGATAAAGGAAGCGGGTTCGGTATGGGGTAGACGACACCATCCCGTAGAAAACTAACTCGCTTAAAAAGCGCTAAACAGAAAAATCAATTCAAACAATTTTAACCCTGCCCTGGGAGCTAGAAGGTCTTCATTCAGAAGAGTTAAAACTTGTCATGATGAAGGCCGAATCACGAAGCCGATGCCTCTTCTGAGAACCAGGGCAACCATATCTTTAGGTACATAGAATGTTTAAACATTGTGGGAGACCAAAAGACTGTTTCAAATTGCTGCAGAGATGAAATGATACAACCTCGAGGTGCTTGGAATCAGTGGGACATATGGACGCAATTTGGACTAATGAGACTAGCTTCAAGAGAGCTGCTGTTATACTCCGGCCATGAAGAAGAAGATTCCTCAAACACAAGGAATTGCATTGATGCTATCCAAAAAGCACAAAAGGCACTGATAGGATGGGAATCTCATGGACCCAGGATCATTAAAGCATCCTTCAAAACAAAGAAACAGGACATTACAATGAACGTCATCCAATGTTATGCACCTACCAACGACAACAATTAAGACATAGAGATTAATTCTACGAGAGGCTGCAGAGGATTTGACCATTCTGATGAGAGACCCACATGCAAAGGTTGGCATGGACAACACTGGGCATGAAGACATCATGGAGTGATATGGGTCGAGAGAAAGGAACGAAAACGGTGCAGGATTTGCAACCTATGTGCCTTCAACAAACTGGTCATCGGCCACACAATATTTCGACACAAACGCATACACAAGGCTGCATGGATTTCACCGGATCATGCTACTCAGAACTAAATAGACCATATCAGTATTAATAAAAGGTTCGGAAGGACGATATAGGACGTGAGGATCAAGAGACGAGCTGACATAGCCTCAGATCAATGCTTGCCGGTCTCCAAGATGAAAATGAAACTCAAGAGGCACTGGACAGTGAAGCGTACAACATCAAAAAAGCCTTATACAGCCTTTCTTCAGGATACTGCCAAACTCGACGAATTCAAGGCAGCTTCCAGCAATTTGTTCGAGGCCTCACATTGTCTACTCAATGAAATGAAAACTACTATGGAGAACAACTGGATAAAGGTCAAAGAAGAAATGACTTCGGGATTACATGAGGTTCTGGGCCACAAGAATTACCACCACAACTAATGGATTTCTGTTGGTACCCTTGAAAAAATTCAAGGAATGAGGAACAAGAGAGCAGCAATCAACATCAACTGAACAAGAGCAGAGGAATTCAAGGCACAAGCTGAATACACAGAGGCAAATAAGTAAGTGAAGAGAAGCATCAGAGCCGACGAACGTAAATATGTGGAAGATGTAGCAATGACGGCGGAAAAGGCTGCAAGAGAAGGAAACTTGAGACAATTGTACGATACAACGAATAAGCGCTCTTGAAACTATCATAAACCGGAAATACCTGTGAAAAGTAAGGAAGGAGAAATAACAGCAACATTGAAGGACAGCGAAACATGTGGGTAGAGCACTTTAAGGAACTCTTGAATCTATGCTGACCAACCAACAATCAAAGAGATCAGCATGACCACCAGGCAAATTAACAGGGACAAAGCAGCGGGACCAGTCTGCCTACCAGCTGAGATAATGAAAGCAGATGTGGCAGCAACTGCAAAACTATTCCATATTCTCTTCTACAGGATTTGGGATGATGAACCAGTACCAACAGACTGGAAGAAATAATACCTGATCAAATTACTAACGATAGGCGATCTGACTACGTAGACACCCAACTTCGAAATCAACAGTCTGGATTTCATAAGGATCGGTCATGTGCCGACTAAATTACCACACTACGGATCATTGTGGAACAACCAATCGAATAGAACTCACCGCTTTTATCATCTTCCGTGACTACGAGAAAGCCTTTGATAGTGTGTACAGGAAAACATTACGAAGGTTTCTTTGACATTACGGCGTGCCTGAAAAGATAGTCAACTTCCTACGGAATTCTTATGAAGGATTAAACTGCAAGATTGGAGGACAGCTGACTCACTCATTCGAGGTGAAGACCTGTGTTAGACAAGGTTGCTTACTCTCACCGTTTCTCTTTCTCCTGGTGATCGACTGGATTATTAAGATTTCGACATTTCAAGTCTAGACACCATCAGCAACAACCTACTAAGGGAGAGAACAAACTAGATCCCAATGGAGGAAGAAATCAGAAAGAATCACCGGAAGTGGAAAGGACACATTTTGAGGAAAGCAGCCAACTGCGTCACAAGATAAGCCCTCACTTAGAACCCTTAAGAACAAACGAAAAGAGGAATGTCATGGAACACACTACACCGAGAAATGGAGACAGACATGAGGAAAATGGATAAAAATTGGACAGAATTGGAAATGGAAGCTCAAGACAGTGTAGGTTGGAGAATACTGTTCCATTCGGGGTAACAAGCTTAAGAAAGTATGTAAGTAAGCCCAGCAGCGTTAAAAAAGCACTTCGAAAATTTTTTGTTCAAAAACTCTCTCTTAAAACTCTGCCGTTACATTTTTCATATTTACATCATTATAAATGTTAATATTAGGAGCCGGAAGAAGCTTTTATCAAATTAGTCTATGTATAATATTTTTCAAGCAATATAATATGGTACGATAGTAGATTTTCTATTGAATGTGATCGAATTGTATGAAAGGATTAACTACTAGTGAATCTATACGGTCAGTTAAAAATGCCATAGTACTGAGTCACCGAAATCAGAAGTGTAATATTATTTCTCTTAATCCCAGCTATACACCATCGATTGAAATGACGTTTTCATCATTAGATTCAGTCATGTGTTGAGTTTAACATTTCGATGATATTTACTTAAAATCAAATTAAAATATTACATAGATGAAAATGATAAAGATCATATGAAACATAGACAACTAATTTAGTGTTCGTGTAAAAATCAAATTAATTTTAGTTTTGACTAATTACATAATGATTTACTTGTATTGCCTAGAGTTCCGCGCCCGATTAAAGAATGAGCAGCATTGTGCGTAAAGTGAGTTTTTCCATATCTAGCCAAATGTGTTAACATCATGAATAAAACTAGTAAATCCTTCTACAAATTCCTATGATAGTTCAACAATCGCGAGATTAGCTCAGTGATGTAACCTCAGATTGTATTCTATGTGAAGTGCGTTCAAATCTAAGTAAAAACAGTAAGTTCCTGGGGATCTCGGGTATGCCTTGTTGATGGCTTTCAGCCAGAACGAAACGAATGTTTGTAATTTCCTGTCAGTTAAGACCAATCAGGTAAGAAAAAAAGCTTTTTGATTCCAACCACTGGCTTAACGTTTAAATTGTTCTTTTGAGGGTTTTTAGTGAGATCATATTTAGCTATATACTGTAATCAATAGTAAAACATTATTATTCAGCATACATAGTTGTAAGCATATTTTCAGAAGTGAATGTCCTTAAACTGTCTTTTTTTCAACAATGTGTACTATGTAACATTAAAAATAGAATAACATTTTTAGTATACTTGTTTGTTATTACAGAAACTCATCACATAAAAATAACTCTAAACAAAGTAACGATTTCAAACAATTATAATATGACTGCAAATATCTAAAAAGATAATACCGTTGTTATAGGTTACTGTTTGTTCATGTTTATCAAAGTAATGATATTCCGCACATTAAAAAAAAAATCAATGTTACACAAGTAGTTATACTTGTGTAATGTCATCACCTGGGTAACCTTTTTAAAATGAAAAAGTACTTATATACACTGTACCAAAATAACATCAAAAAGTGAAACATTGTTGAATTGAGCAGAGGTAATCATGTACATGAAAGTAAGTTGTGTAAATTTCTGGTGCTAAACAATAATCGATAATACAAAGTCAACCGGTTGAACAGATTCATATATATTCAGAAAACTGAGATTATGGCGTGACATTCATGAACACATAGAAGTAATATTCCTTTGAACAAGATGTGATACAACTTGCGATTCTCTACATCTGTTAGGTGTAAATTAGATGAAGTTTCCGAATCGGGTTTAGGAGAGCTTTAATTCAGTCCACTATGTGTTGGTCATTAGGAATTTTCATTATATATCGATTTGCTACAGATCTTATTGAACTTATCGAAATCATGAAAACAGGAGATTTACTCTTAGTTGTACAACTATCCTCAGCCGACATATATATATATAT